CCCCAAAACCCCAAAACCCCGTATAGACAAAATTTGATCAAACTCAAAAAATATAGTATTTGAAATTTTACTAAAATTAAAAAAAGGGATTTAGAAAAATGATTTTACATAATTTTATCTTGTTCAACAAACTCAATTATTATAGAGATGATTATTCTAAAAACTGATATTTTGCTGATATGACTAATCTATGTTTTGCTACTGATGCTTTATTGCTTGCATTTCCATTGATCTCCTATATGAAAACCCTTCACTTGTGACATTCATGCTGGCTATACTTTAATTAGCACTGTTATTATTGCTGTTCTGTTAAATTATTTACTATTTATTAACATTCATAGTTGAAATTACATTTGACCCTAGGCCTTACCTAGCTTACTGTTATGTGAACTAATAAGATACATTTTATTATTAAAGGGCCTAAGGAGGTTCTATATATAGATTAGTATTAAGATGAACATACTTTATTATAGTTTAGGAATTAAATGTTGATTTGTAAACATCGTGTTTTCCAGTTATATCTTTTTATTCCCATTTATTTGGGGAGTCTATGGAATGCTTCCATTCACATTTAATTTTTATATTTAATTCTCAAATCTATATAACTCTTATCGTTTTATTTCATAAGGATTAGCAAGATATGGATGCGATCTATTGATTTATTACTGTTGATCATTATTGTATTGCAGCGAATGCTGACTATGAAGATTAATTTATCTTATTTGATCTTGAATTTATTTTTGTTTTAACTCTTCAGTTTGAGCCTATTCTTAAGATATTTGCATAGATTCTAACTTCTACTTTAAGAACCTAAATGTAAAAGATGAGAATAGATTCAATTACTTTTTCTCATTAATGACTGCAGTGATGGAGGATGAACACTACTCCCAGGAGTCAAGGAGTTTTCCGTACTCATCTGATAAACATTTATATTTCTTTTTTAATTTATTATACTTATTTCTTAGTTCTATTTCATTATTTTTCTTGCCAATTTTCTTGGATCTCTCTGATAATATGCTATTACTTTTACAAATTTAGTTTTAATTATGGAGATTATTGTTATCTTCTTCAGAGAGTGATGAGGTAATATCCTAAGCCAAATCTTAAGCCAGGTCTTAAGCAAGATTTTCTAAACGAGTAAATGAATTCTAAGAATCATGCTGCTTTATTAGATTCAACATCTGAACTGAGCTTGAGTGTTCAGATGCATGAAGAGGTTACATATTTTATTCGTCATGTTTTTGGCTCATAAGATCTACTATTTATTTATTTAATTATTATTTAAATTTATTTTATATTTAAACTTTAGGGGTTTTGGGGTTTTGGGG